TGTAAACATAGGTCATATAGAGCTTTATTAAGAAGTTATAACAAAAATTCAGAATAGGAATAGTAATCAACTTGCTGTTACTGCGAGCATTGGTTTGAATAGATTAGCACATGCTGTGTGTTTATGTAAGTTGTGTTTATTAATACATTTCGAAATGCCTACCGTTGTTGACAATACATGATTGACATCGATCGAAGATCGAATTTATGACCGTGCGAATTTCGTTTCTATTCTCTTTCATTTCATTGAACGCATTATTAATCTTTTGAATCAATTTTTGTTATAACTTCTTAATAAAGCTCTATATGACCTATGTTTACATAACATTTTCTTCTTACTTTGTGCCATAGAATATACCGACAAAGTTTGAAGATTAAAAGCTGGGACACACCCTGTATATATATACAGGGTGTTATGTCAAGGTTATGTCATATGTATATATATACAGGGTGTTCCACAATTATTTTAACAGCCGAAAATGAAGGGTAGCTGAGGTCATTTGAAGTAACATTTTCCTTTGCGAAAATGCAATCCTCGACTTTGTTTACGAGTTATTAACGAAAAACATTGACCAATGAGAGGCGAGGGCGCGAGTTACAACGTGGTTGATCGATCGAGTGAAACGTGTTTCGATCGTGGAGCGCGATAGACGAAGGTGGGATTCGTGCTGCATTTGAATCAATGAAGAACTCACGATGCATGAACTTCCGAATTTTTTTTACTATGTGACAGTGATAATTTTAAGAACAACAGTATTCATCCTTATTTCAGAATGTCTGGAGAATATTTACTAATTTTTCGAATCCAAAATAATAAGTAATTTAACTGTGATGGCCGTTTTAATTTTCTGGTATGCATGAGACCTCATGTGTACCATATGAAATTTGTATGCAAGGTGTACATTGAAGATTAACAAAGTACGTAAATGATATTTTAATCTAAAAAATTTCGTGTCCGAACCCAATTCAACGAACGATTTGCAAAGCTAATTTAATAATAAATAATCGCGTCGAAGGACGTAAGGAATTTGTTTGTTAGAGAAATGTGAAGAATATTCAGCAATGATTGTTATTTGTAACAAAAAATAATTTTCATCACCTACTTCCGTTATTTATAATGGTTACTGATAACTACAATACATAAAAAGTTCATTTTTTCTAATTATTACATTTTTTAAAATTTTCTTTAAAACTATGACTACTATGTAAATAAGGATCAATTTTCTATCGATGATTTTGTCCCATCAAAGTTTTGACATAATTGTTACTTTCAGTCTGTGAATCTATTCTGTGAATCTCTGCGTTAGCCATCAATCTGTTTGTTCGTGCACCTACTTCTTAATAGTTAGAACCGTACTAACAATTGGTTAGTCAAAATTTCTTGGCTACATCAAACTCTACGGTTCGTAAGACATTATCTGGCCAAGGTAAAGTACTAAATTTAATTTTATAGAAATCCTTTAAAGTAATTTGCCGTATACGTATCTAAAATATTGTTTGAATTTTTGAATAATTTTGAAACACTAATGATTAAATTGTAGATTTTTATATATTTATCTTGAAAATATGAGAAACGTAAATTAACAAAGTCTATTTTTCTTTTATTTTCTAGGAGTAAATTTATGTATTAAAATGAGAATTTGCAAAAAATCTACAAAGATCAAAAATATCTATGTTGAGGTGCGTCGTGTGAGCACCTGATATCGTTATTCCGCGATATTAACTATCTATCGGGTTGTAAGGCCGACTACGCTGCGCGACGGAATAGGACGATATCGTTGTCCGTTTACTTAAAAATGAACAACTGTTTTACTTAATAGTTCGTGAATTGATAGACTGAATGAGACGTAGACTAGAGTGACGAGCGATGTTGAACGATATGAACGAGGTTACGCAGGAGTAAAAAATGACTGTCCGAGGTGGTCAAGAGTTCTCGTTTTTATATGTTTCTCGCCGAGAGAAAACTTGAAGATCATTGGTTGATCGCGAGGTGGAAAGGGACCTTAGGAGTCCCGGTCGTACCCAGTGTCACAGGTAGTAAGAAATCCCGGAAAAGGCGACCGAAGGGATGCGTGCTGGCGACCCTGTCATAAANGACTGCTCGGATGATGCCGTCTGTACCAGGGTGGACTTCGAGAACCCGTCCGAGAGCCCACTGCATGGGTGGTAGGTTGTCCTCTTTAACGAGAACGAGCGTTCCCATCTTGATGTCATGGCTGCCGCTGGTCCACTTGTGGCGAATGTTTAGCTCATTGAGGTATTCCTTATACCATCTCGCCCAAAAATCACGCTTGAGTTTCTGGAGATGTTGCCAGATGGAGAGTTTGTTCGATGGAGTGGTTGTGAAGTCGACCTCCGGTAATGTGTTGAGTGCGCTGCCGATTAAGAAATGTCCTGGAGTTAGAGCACAAAGATCGTTCGGATCCGAAGACAATGGAGTGAGAGGCCTTGAGTTGAGAATTGCTTCGATTTCGATGATGAAGGTGTTGAGTTCTTCGAAAGTCAGCAATTCGTTGGCTATCACTCGTCTCATGTGGTGTTTGAACGACTTCACTGCCGCTTCCCACAAACCTCCGAAGTTTGGTGACCTTGGCGGAATGAAATGCCAGTTGATCCCTTCGTTGGTCAAGTAGGCATCCACTTTGCGTTGATGATCCTGTGAACTCAGCAGTTGATGAATTTCTTTGAGCTCTCTATTTGCTCCAACGAAGTTCGTTCCGTTATCGGAATAGATGGCATGACATTTCCCTCGTCGAGCAGTGAATCGACGTAAGGCTGCCAGGAAGCCATCGGTGGTCATGTCGCTGACTAGCTCCAGGTGTACTGCCTTCACAGCGAGGCATACAAAGACAGCGACGTAGACCTTGATTCGGTTTCTGTTACGGAACTTCTTCTCCTTGACGAAGAAAGGACCGCAGTAGTCGACCCCGACGTTGTTGAATGGTCGATCTTCGTTGACGCGAGCTTTTGGCAGATCTCCCATCATGCATTCTGTGTTTGGTGGATTTGCACGGAAGCATTTGATGCACTGGCGGATGACCTTCCTTGTTTGGTTTCTGCCATCGAGGGGCCAGTATCGTTGTCGGGTACTGTACAGCGTGGCTTGGACACCAGCGTGCATGCTGCGTAAATGTTCGTTTCGCAAAATGAGCGTTGTCAAATGGTGCGATTTGGGAAGCACGATCGGATGTCGTTGGGAGTATGGGATGTCTGAATGCTTCAAACGTCCTCCCACTCGTATGATGCCGTCTCGGTCGAGGAATGGGTCGAGCGTGTTGAGTTTGCTCTTGCGGTGAACCCTGCGACCTTGAGATAAATCTTGCATCTCTTCGGCGAAGCATTCTCGTTGTGTCAAACGGAGTATGGTTTTGTTGGCGGTGTTCAATTCCTCGGCTGACACAGGTCCCTTGAAGCGGTTGTCCGGTTTGAATCGAAGGCAGTATGCAACGATTCGTTGCAATTTGGTGATCGATGAATACCGCTGCAGTATCTCACACGAAGCTGCTGTCGTTGTGAGTAGACATGTTTTGCTTCTGATTTCCGGTAGCATGTCCAAGGAAGGGAGTTTGAGCTGAGGCCAGAAAGATTCGTTTTGCGATAGCCAACTTGGACCGTGTTTCCAAACGGAGTTTTGGATAAACTCAACGGGTAGTTGACCGCGTGATAAAGCATCGGCAGGATTGTCCTTAGACAGCACGTGTCTCCACATATTGCTCGATGTCTTCGTTTGGATATCGGAAACTCGATTCGCTACAAATGCTTTCAGCAAGTGTGGGGAAGAGTTGATCCAATGGAGGGTGATCGTTGAATCGGTCCAGAATATGGTTTGGTCAATTCTCACGTGAATTGAATTAAGAACGGTGGCATACAATTTGACTAATAATTGTGCGCCGCAGAGCTCGAGGCGTGGTAAGGTGATTGACTTGAGAGGAGCTACACGAGATTTTGCACACAACAATCTGGATTGAATTTGGCCGTTGGCATTGCTGGATCGCAGATAAATGCACGCTCCATAGCCAATCTCGCTGGCGTCGCAAAATCCATGGAGTTGAGTGGCTGCGACGTCCGACAGAAGAATTGGTCGTGGGAAGGCCATGTTGTTCAATAGATTGAGTTGTGAGCAATAATTTACCCACGTGGACTGTATGTTGTGAGGATGGCGCAGGGCGCTGAACACAGGCAGAAAGGCGGGTAGGATACGGCTTGCCGGGTCCTATTCTGCTGATTCCTAAGTGCTAGGCGTTGTAGAGTAGCGACTACACGATCCCGAAGCGCTAGCCGACCAGTGCTGGAGATGCGGTGTCTCCAAACATGGTAGTAGCTTTGCTACGACAGGTCCTACCAGTCGGCCTTCTAAATACTGGTACCTCGGGTGTCGGCGTGCCCACGAGGTCCCGGCCATCTGGCCCGGGATACCTCGGGCCGGCAGTGGGTAGGTCCATCGAGGGGGCAGTGGTAAACGGCTAAAGTTGGCCAGAGGCTCCTTCCCTTCCTCTCCTTACCTCTTCCCTCCTTCCTCGTTCTGTCCCACCCTTAAGTTGTTGGGGGCCTCGACGGGTGAGCTGCGGTATTCAGCTCGGGAACCGACCTGCTGAGCCGGTAGAGCATAGAAAGGGCTCGGCACCACCAGTTGTCTGCTGACGAGAGTCCGCGTCCTCGTAGTAACTGGTGGCTCCTGCGTGGCATCGTTTGGCGAATCGTCTGCTTTGAGCGTATCTCAATTCCGCGCCCATGGGGGCCGTGTGGATAAGCCTTT